CTGTAACGACTTCGCGTCACAGAGGTCAGCCAGAAGGACTGGTGTTTACGGAGGAGCGTCTGCTTTAGGTCGAGGCATTGCACGCACCAACAGAGCATTTCCTAGTTAAATGACTGCAAAGAAACCTACAGAAGGAGAGCTGGTTGACTGAGAGACGCAGGCAGAGAGAGAGAATAAGGAGTCGAGGCGCCGCTACACTGCAGCGTCAAGTGGGTTTGGACCCTGTGCGTAGGTCAACACGCAGGCTGTAATTCGTGGCACTGTGCGCGAAGTAACGCTCCAGACCCGTCTTGCTCTCGTGGTTCCACCCAGAATTAGCCTTTGTGAGGACGATTTTTCGGACAACACCCTGCACCCCCTTTCACATCTCCGCCGTGCTGCCCACTCCGCTACCTTTGAAATCTCCTTTGTATCAGGGGGTGCGGAAGGGGAGGGGGGGGAGTGAAGGAGGGGACTCATGGCGATCGGGAACCGCCTAAATCCTCAGCACGGGACCCACCTTGCTTTCACCAACCGCAAGTAGTCACCCCACCACACCAGTAACCCTGTTCTGAATTCACTAGGCAACGACGAGAAGTCTGATGATAAATGCAACGTAACGGGGCAAACTTTTTAAATTTGGAGCGACAATTTAGTTGATAAGACGGTGCACCAACCTGATTTTCTTTCCTGCTGGGCAGCGCATCGTCACCGATTCAGGCACATCAGGTTGACTCTGCTCAGTGAGATCTTCTGGCAAGGCTTTCACAATATCACCGGATTCTTCTCGACGATCCAATTTCGTTGCACGAATTACTGCTGAAACCATAATAGTTCTAGTATGGTTGCATCAATTCTCAGTAGACGTCGGACGGATGGCTTTGGCGCCAGCTGTATCTTTACCAATAGTGGAAGGTGGCAGGCGACTACATTTAGTGGAACACTGGCTGGCGCCAAGAGCCGAACCCAGCCTCCTGACACGCCCATTGTCCGCTGCGGACAAAACTTTATGTAGCAGCTTCCTCGACTTCCAAGGAACTTCAAGCAAACCCTTTGTCATGACAACACACAAGTCATTCATAACCAAGTTGTCGTACCCAAAGCCTGTTAACTTTTCTGTTTCCAATGTTTTCCCTTGGTGGCTAGTTCGCAATAATTTTGAATGTACGGCCGTGAAGGTGATGGCCCTGTTAGGCTGAGTTTTCACAAAAGGATACCTCTTCCTTTATTTGTTCGAATACTCTCGACTTACGAGCTTGTTCAGTTGTTGGTTCGGTTACGTACTCGGTAGTAGTTGGTGAGGTTGTCGTAGATGTGGTTGTAGTGGTGCTTTCTATGAGGCTGAAGAATACTTGTAATTATCTTCGAGTTTTACTTGTCTGTTTATTTATTCGTTAATTTATTTTCTAAAGGCCCAGAGGTGCATCCAGGTGGCAAATGAAGCAA